AAGATCTGTATAGGGGCCAAGTTGACAAGGGGTGGAATTGTGGTCATTATGTTTTTGTGTCAACTTGGCTGGGCAGCTGGTGGTAGTTATTCCCCATGAGGAGACTGGCAATCAACTCCATGGTGCGATCTACTGCAAGTAGCTGACTAGCTACCTTTGGAATGTGGTCTGCTTCCTGGATATGAGAAGCCTTGGGAATGGTCTCTAGCATATGGCACACCTGGACACTGCATGTAGCTGTGTCATTGTTCAGCAGCCTGCCATGCTCTGCCAACCTTGGGACTTTCAGTGGATTTGAATTAATGGCCTGCCATGTGGTTTGGTAACATTGGGACTGTGTCATTTTATTTGTCAACCTTGGGCTTGTTAGCCTCAGCAGCCAGTAGCTGCCTGAGTGAAGAGATGCCTCTAGCTTCAGTAGGCTGGGAACAAGAGGCAGAAGTGAAGCCCAAGGTCAAGGGGCTTTGACCCAGCCCCTAGAGCCTTGCACTTTGAACTTGGACTTAAAACCTCCACATTGTGAGAGAATAAACTCCTGTTTGTGAAGGCCATCCCATTTGTGGTATATTCTTGCCAGAGTGGCACTAAGTAACCAGAACAAAAGCAGATTATGTCTGACCTCCACCTCACTGAAACCAGCTTTGTGCTAATCCTTACACGTTGTTACATAACTATAACCAGGGGAGTTGGTTCACGGCCCCACACTGCCCTGCCAGGACGACTGTGTCCACCTTGAGCAGAAAGAGGACACAGCTAAAGTGGGGCTCTACTGGCCAAGGTGAAAAACAAACGCCCATCAGGCTGAATCACTCTGGCAAGTTTTCAAACCTTCCCTTCTCTGTATCCCAAGAACTCTTTGCCTTGACAGCAGATGGCGCAGCCCCCCACATGAGCACATACACACCAGTAAGTACAAAAGCCAACACTTTAATGAGACGGGCAGCAACAGCGCGGACGTCGTACTACAACGGGTTAACGCCAGTTGCGCATGCCACCGCTGTCTTAACAAGCGAGCAGAGGGACATACTACAAACCCTTCAACATTCCAAAGGTCCTGAGTAGAGAGGATTTTTTATTTAAACCACATAAAATGCATATATAGGAAACTTCTCTATTTAGGAGCTGGTGGCCAGCACACAGCATTGCACAGATAAAAATATACGACTTTCAACACAGATCGAAATACCTTCACATTTTAAAAATCAAGAGTTCTCTACACAAGTTTCAAGCTGACAGAATCCAAGTTCTGAGTTTTCATATACAGCTTTCACTTGTATTAAACATGTTTATTTACAACGTGGACAAAGAATAAGGGGCTATTAAGGCCATTTTCTCATACTGTTTAACACCGCAAAATATGTACATAAGTACAACCTAATATAGGCAAAGGTTCTAAAAATCATTTTTCTGAGTTTAACGTAATTGAGCATCAATATGGGGGAAGAGGAGACAGCTTGTCTTTAGCACCGAGCTCCACCACTGTCACCATGTGCACTTCTGTTCCTTCCAGCAGGCTGCAGGTGCCCCCGTGCTCAGACAGGTGTGCGCCTCGCACCCAGGCATAGGGTCATGGGTAGGTACACAGGCCGGCCAACTGAGGGGCACCTCACTGCCCTCTCAATTCCACCTCCAAATTCATAACAAGGTCCAAACAGTAAAAATGGCATTCCCAAAGGGAGCTACGCAGAAGGGACAGTCACAAGAAGTGTGGCAGGTGGGCTGGGGGGCAGGACTCCATGCCCCAAACAGCAGCTAGCCAGCAGCCGCTGAAGGGCCCTGAACTCACCTGCGGTGCCTGCTGTGCCCGGGGTGGTCCCGCTCATAGCGGCGGCCCGTCCGTTCATAGGACCGAGAACGCTCCCGCCTCTCCTCTCGGTAGTAATGACTTTTCTTCTTATATTTCCCAGGATTCTCTGCCCGCTCCCGTGAGTGGCTTCGAGAGCGGGACGAGCTCCGGCTCCGCGACTTTGGAGGCTTCTGGGCAGGGTATTTGCAGTCTCTGGACTTGGTGTAGCTCCTCACCTTGGAGCCTTTGTATGGGGCACCAGGGCGCACCTGTCTTGGAGGCGAGTCACTGCGGCTCCTCGAGCGGCTCTGGGACTTGGACCCACTGGTTGTTGACCCACTGTCGCTTTTCCTGTGCAGAAGGAGGGGAAGCACCACCACTCCAGTGACCATCTGTCCCAACCAGTACCCACAGACACACCACGGACAACTCAGACACAGGCCCTCACTCCACAGGGAACCCTGCCTCTACCCGCCTGTGCCCTAGGTGAGCCAAGCATCACATACCTCCTCTTTGGGGAGGCAGACCCTGACCGGGACCTTGAGGGACTCTGCTCACGGCTCCGACTCCGGCTCTCTCCCCCCTTTGGCAAGCTGTGAGGGAAGAGACAGTCAGACCTGGGGCTCTCCCAGAGAGCACCCAGCAGCCACAAAGGCAATGTGTGGCAAGTAGTCTTACCCGTTCACTGGGCTATCAGCCTTGGCTTTCTTTGAGGTCTCTGCTTTTCTCTTGGCATTCTTCACAGACAGTGGGGAGGGCTTATTCCCTTTGCCTTCTTTGGGGGATTCTAACAGAATCAAGTACAAGAGTTAAAAACCGGCCACCAGAAAACCATTTTAGTAAAGAGCAACACTCAGCAGAGTAAGACATGACTACCCATGGGACATACGTAAGAGGTCACAAGCTGACAGGGACTTTCTACTCCTGGCCTGGAACTCAAAATCTGACATGAATCAGAAACACAAACAATGTGGTCATCCCTCATCCCTCAGGGGCTTAAAGTCTAGGATCTGACAATAGAAGCTATTGCCCCATTTAAAAACTCTTCATCAATGGACAAGCTCACTGGGTGGATCAGGTGAACAGGAACATTCTTGGAAGCCTGCCCACACCCCCTGCTATGAACACAGAAACCATGCACTCCTCCAGTGGCCCCTATCACATTCTCTGGTCTCCAGTGGTCGCTGGAGCCCAATGTACACAAAAAGCTCAAGCAAGCTGCTGATTTGATTCCAAGAGTGTTCTAAGGGAAAGCAGGCACGTCTTCAGATGAGGGCTCAGGCTCTGCACTCTGCCCACTCACCAAGCTTGGGGACAGGCGAGAACCCGGATGTGCCGTCCAGAACCTGTGTGCCGCCAGCAAGCAGGCCTTTTGCCTGTGCCTTTGCTTCCTCGATGGCATGCTTTCTCTTTTCCACTTCACTTTCCAGGTGTGTCAGATCAACCTGCAAGAGGCACCACCAATGATTCAGAACCAGTTGTTCCTGGTCAAATGCAAATGCATGTGTCACATGAAAGAGCATTTAAAAAAAAAACAAACCTTTTTCCGAGTATACAGCTGTAGGATTTTTAAGCAGATCTCTTGGATTTCTTCTTCAGTTGCTCCAAACAAAAGAAACCAGTGGGGACGATTAGGCAGAGGAATCTGTAAACACAATGCCCCTACATTATGTTTTTTTCAGCAACTCAGGCCAGTGAGAGTGTTTTAGGCACCCAAGAGGTGTGCTTTTAGTGGCACTGTGAAGGCAAATCTGAAACAGCACTCATAGGTGTCTCCAGGCAAGCACTGACCTCAAGCGTACGGGCAGCAAGGTAAATGCAGGCACAAGCGATGCTCTCAGGCTGGAACCTCACAAACACATCTGTGCGAAGGCTGTCATTCATGTAGTTCCTGAAAATCAAAAGTAGGATAATTGCAACACCTGGCACCCAGACCGTCATCCGCATGTCTAGACAAGGTGCTCCCCCTCTAAGTGGTCTACTGCCAGGGTGGAGGGCACGGCAGTCATGGGAGCCTCAAGAGCTAGTGGAGAAACATCCTAGCTGCTTTTTCTGTATACAGGACAGGGAGACAGAGTAACTATTAAAAAAAAAAAAAAAAAAGCTGACTGAATGTCAGACAATACATATTGCTATGAAAGAGAACCGATTTTAACTTCACTTTTCCCTCAGTCTCAGCCTGCTCTCATGCAAAGCACAATGCCTCAGGAGGAAAATGTTCACCAAGGTGGTTAAAATGCATCTGAATAAAAAAGTCTAAATGCTCAAAATCCACAGTGCAGAGAAACATGCAAACTCAAAGGAAGGGGCCAAGCACGACCCAGGGGCTTTTCTGGGGCCAATGTCCTCTTCCAGTTTGTCCTATGAGGGGCACACAGCCTGGCCCCTGATGACTGAGGCACAGCTTCCAGAGGGAGTCCAGTTGGAGAGGGCACCCGTGGTGCAATCCAGGTGCACGGGGACATCCTGAAGAGGGTCGGCACCCCAAGGAAATCCTCTTCTCAGCCTTATCAAAGAATCGTTTCCAAATTGTCCCATTGCAACAAGGAGTCTTAAAGTGAACATTCATAAAATCAGACAACAACAACAAAATACTCAAAGTTTCGTCACAATCAGTACATTTTAAAAACTTTATCATGCTTTAAAGATGTAAAAATACAAAATAGACATTTTTAAAAAATTTCAAAAGGCTTTAAAATTGACTATATTTTCAGTATTTTCCTTTAGATATATTTCTCTAAAGTTTAATAGACTAAAACCAGACCTCATACTATCTGTATTAACATTACAGAAACAGGATTAATACCACAAGGAAACAGTTGAATAGGCATTTACCAGCTGAACATGTGTTTACTGTTCCTAACAGACCCCACTGTGGCCCCTCACAGCAATATCAGGCCCACCACCATTTTGTTTACATCCCCCACCCCTGTGATCTCTGCCCTCATTCCTGGAGAATATATTACATAAACCCACTCAGAGATTTCTAAACAGTCACTCCTACAGACACCATCACTAGCATCTGGTTCAGAACGGCTTGTTCTAGGTCTCCAGAAGTGACCGCAGAACAACTTTGCAAATAAGCAGTTCAAACATTTTTAAATATAACCATTGATAGTGATTTTTCTGACTCTAATAAAAAATTTTCAGTTTTCAGATAGCGAAAATACCATTAACCCATTAGCTTTTAAGTCCTAAAAAGCAAGTCTTTGACACATATGTTTAAACTTATTGCTCTATTTAAAATAAGCTAACAATACTTTTCAGTGTCCATGAGATAATTTAAAGATGCACACCTTTTACTAGAACATGTCAGTGTTGAGCTGCTGAGAAGAGCAGCTTGAGGGCATCTAGAAATAATGCTGCGATGCCACACTGCCCATCTGAGACCCCATCAGCCAATTTGTCACCTCCATTCCTACCACCTTCCACAGGACTTTTTAAAAGAAAAAGGTGTTGCATCTTTATTGTACAGGTGCAGCAGTTTAAAGGGACAAAATTCAAGTCGAGACAGTTATCAATCTAATCAGTACATTATCAAGGCAGAACAGAGGATGAACAAGAAGCACAGTCCCAGAGAACCACACGCAGCACCGGCCATTACTATACTATTGTTGGCATACCACCGGTCTAGAGCCAGCCTTCTGTGGAGAGCCTGCATTGGATTGGCTGAAGACGGCCGCTGTCCTGCACCAAAGCGCTTGGACAGCAGAGGAGAAGTCTTAGTCACTTACCCTCAGAGGCTACCCTTTGATTGAAAGAGTACAGAAAAGAAAAGTCAAAATAGGTTCTCTATTAAAGACATCATAGCACCAGACAATTCAGTCAGCAAAAATATGACCCTTGCAAAAATATGACCCTTACATAGAAAAATTCACTAGGGCACCCCCAACACTAAGCTGTTATTCTGGGCTTCAATTCTAGCATATGCATTGTTAACAACCAGTCTCTCTTCCTCACAGATTTCTCCCAGGGAAGCAGTGAGAAGCCACTTCACAGTGGAGTGAGGCCATCAAGTCTGCTCTGGTATTCAAGGCCTCCACCTTCCCTGGGGAAAGGCCCTGATGGGCAATGGGGAGAGGGGTGAGGCCACCTTACCGTTAAGCCAGTGCCTGCATTTTGGGAAGCTGAGTGGAATTTACACAGCACTAACACTGGGCACTCCAGACCACTCCAGCCCACAGTCACAGGCCTGACTACCCACTGCCCAAAGGGCCTCAAACGAACACACTCTGCCACTGCCCTTGCTGATCCCAAACAACAAAGAAAATCAACTCACCATGATGTCTGGACCAGGTGTTGGTTACGCTCACACTCTAACACCTGAAGGTACATAACGATTATCTGGAAGATATGGGTCAGGAAGTTATTACCGTGAATCTTGAGAACCAAGCACTCAGATTTCTGGGGCGTCCATGCAGCAAGTAAGAACCTCATGCTAGATTCAAGGACTGGGCTCCTGATCACACACCGGCAGCAGCTCAGTGGAGGTGAACGTTGCTGATGCACCTGCTCCCCGCTCTGGCACCAAGCATGAAGGTGAGGAAGACAAGCTGCCCTGTGGCCGAAGGCCTCTTGTTCACGGCCAGACCCTTGTTTGTCTCTGATACTTCTTCCATCAGTGATATTAGCCTGTCCTAAACATCTCTGCATCCCAATCTCCCACTTAATACAAGGTGAAAACACTCTCAGCAAGTAAAGAAAAACACTTAAACCTATTGATATTTTACCAAGAATTTGAAACAATGTTGAATGTCAAAGTAAGTAAAATACAAGGAAACCCATCAACCAAAACCAAAACAAACCCATTGCCATCAGTAGATTCCAACTCATAGAGACCCTACAGGACAGAGTAGAACTGCCCCCATAGGCTTTCCTAGACTGTGAATCTTTACAGAAGCAGACTGCCTCATCTTTGTCCCACGGAGCAGCTGGTGGGTTCAAACTGCTGACTTTCTGACTGGCTGCCGAATGCCTTAAATACTGTACCACCAGCTTCTTCCCAACAAAGGGGGGGGGGTTGTGAATTAAAATAATGCAGACAGCAATCTTTTGTTAAAGAATGTTTTGTTTAAGTATAACACAGGAGATAGCCACAGCATTACAAATAACATATGCTACACAACTGGTTCTGTTCATTTCAAAGTCCAAGGCTCAGAATTCTTCCCATTTCCCCATGACTAGAAAGAAAGGCTATTTCTAATACAATTTCAGAAAATTAGCTCTCAATAAAGAAAAACATTTACTGATAAATTCAGTTTTTACAAATTTGTCCCTATTTTTCAAAGTCCAAACTTTAAAAATGCCATTTCCACAACCCTTAAAATTAGATTATCAAAATGAAGAGGTAACACAAGAAGGCTAGGGATGAAGAAGTATTTGAGATCATAGATATAAACTAGAAAACGAAACCAAAGAAACATTTAAATCCTCTCCAGAGCCATTATTCGCTGTGAAAATGGAGAAATGAGGCAGCAAAAGCTGCAAAGCAATGCAGTGGGCTACATGCTGAGCCCCATACCCACCTTGTGAGGGTGCTTCACGTGGACACAGAAGCCCAGCTCTTTGAGAACTCGTCTTTCTGCCTTTATAATTTGGTTCTTTAAATTAACATAATCTTGATCTAACAGTAGAGGCACAGGTTTCCTACAGACAAAGCATATAACCTGCATAAGGGTCAAATAAAACAAGGTCTTTCAAATCCCATAATTTCCTCCAAAGAGGAGACTTACAAACACCATGAGGTAGACTTCACTAGGAAGTGAACTTCGTGTCCTCTAACGCAATCAGAGTCCCTGCTCAAACCCCAGTGCTAACCTAGTGCCCCTTCTCAATAATCTTTCCATGATGCGTAATAAAGACCAACTAAATAGAGCGGGGGATCTCAGGGTTTCACAGAAGGGCTCAAGGTACTTTGTGTGACCCAAGATACATGTGTCTATGTTTGAGAATAAACTGAAAACTAGAGAAGTGACAAAAGGGTGACATTTAAATGTTGAGTGTGTTTTCCATAGGAATTCCATCTACTTTAGAAATATAAAGCCTGGGCTACATTTTATGTAGTCTTCAGCCAGGTGCAATTTTGCTATCCTAGGGACAACTGACAGTGTTTGGGTATACTTTTGGCTGCCACAATCGGTGGTACTACTGACATCTAGAATAGAGATCAGCAATGCTGCTGAACACCTGATGATGCACACATAGTCCCCCGCAACAAAAAGCCAGCCAACCCCAAATGCCTGTAGCATCACGGTTTAAAACACCCTACCCTAGAGCGTTCAGAAACACGTAACAAGCAAGATGATAAGGATGTGACTACATGGCAAACGAGGAACCAACACTAGCAAAACCGCAGCCATAAGACTTATCCTCCTTGGTGCAGTTCCCTCACTGAATAAATACTATCAGCTAAAAAGGACATAGGCACCAGGCCCTGTTCTGGCAATAAGTTACTGAACAACCCATCAGTTTAAAACCTCACACCATCAGCTTTGTTACAGAAATGTTATTGCAACTTAATCATAAAACCGAGAAGAAATTCTGACAGCTCTAGTAATACTCACTTTTTCTCTCTCAGGTGTCGGAGGCGATGAAACACATTGATGACATCCCGAATCCGTCTTGGAGCCTCTTCGATTTTGGAAGCGAGGTGTACACAGGCCATCGACACGTGCTAAAACGTAAGCATTGCAACACAGATGTTTGTTCCGCTCCTCACGGCCTCCATAAGGGAGATTAAGAGCAAAGGAGAGGTATTCCTGAGCCCTGGAATTTAAAGCTCGGGGCACAGGGCAGGTACTCCCTATCTTAAGCGAAGCCTGGGTTTCACAGAGAGCATTAGTATGGAGAAAATGGCCCTTACCTCCATGGAATGCTTCACAAAGGACTTGGTGTAAAAAAACCGCTGGAATAACACCTGTCCGGTAGCCATGGCCACCTAAAGAAGAAAGAGTTCCTCATCATTTACAAACGCTCAATTCAAGGGTTTCAAAATTAAGCACGAATCACCAAGCTTGATGTGATTTCCTAATACAGAACCAAAATAAAAAAAACGTATTTTCCACAAAGGCTCTTGATTTCCCACGCCTCGGCCCGGCTCCAGGTAAGAGACAGGAATTAGGATCACGCTGGCCCGGGTTCCGGGTAGGGGACGGGGTTTGCGCTGGGCCCGGCCCGGCCGCCAACAAAAGGCCAGGCCGCTCCCGGCGTCGGCCGGCTGTTAACCCGGCCCGAAGCTCGCTGCAGTGCCCTCACCTGCGGCAGGCGGAGCAGGATGCCGGCCGCCTGGATGAGCTCACAGCCCACCACGCGGAGGTCGGTTTCCGTGTCGGTGTCGAGTCCGCTCGACATGGACGGCGTGAAGCGAAGCTTGTCGTCAGGGAGAAGGCAGTTTTCCAAGGTGATAAGCACCCCGGAGTACAGCCTATCCCCGATCAGCACCCCCTGAGATCCGGGGGCTGCGCTTCCTGCGCCCGGCGCCCCGGCCGCTGCCGCGGGGGCCCCAGACCCTGGGGCCCCGGCTGCGGCCGTCGCTGCCGCCGCCGCCATTTTGTGCCGCCGACTTCCCTTCGGTTCCTTCCCGGCAGGGCGGCTCCTCGCGACGCTCTACGGCCACCGCCCCGCCCCGCCGCGCGCCATTAGCTCAGCCTACAGGCGGCCCGGCTCTACCTGGCCAGGATTGGCTGTGCGGCTTGCCCGTCAGCGCCGCGCCTTACGCTGGCGCCGGGAATCGGCGCGAGCGGGGGCGGGTTCATTACCCAGGGGGCTTCGCGGCGCCTCGGGCGAGGCGGCCCCAACCCGGAAGCTGCCGGTCCCCAGAGCCCTAGACGCACCAACAAGTGAGGCCTCCGCTTGAAACCCAACTACGCGGAAGCTCTCGTGTCCCCATCCTGGCCAGCCGAACGGGGCGGTCCTGGCGGGTGGGCGCCGTCTGGGCTGGGCAAGGACAAGACGACTCCCAGCCTCTCGTCCCCAGAGGGCTCTCCCACCCTGGCCAGCCGGGCTGTGTTCCGGGAGGCTACGTCTTGTTAAAAGCATGGCGGAGGAGTGGGTGGAGGGTGGAAGTGGAGTGATGCTTCCCTCAGAGGAGGTTAACAGGTGCTTATTAATCATCCCGTAGCCTAGCGCCTGGCACGCAGCAACTGATAGTAGTTGCCCAAATTAATACCTAGCAGTTGTGATCAGGAGCTCTGATGGTGCGGTGGTTAAGGCATTTGACTGGTAACTAGAAGGTTGAAGGTTAGTAGTTCAAATCCACCAGGTGCTCTGCAGAAGAAAGATGGGGCAGTCTACTTCCATAAAGATTTATGGCCTCTGGAAACCCAAAGTGGGTCACTATGAGGTGGAATAGATTCTATGGCAGTGAGTTTTTGGTTTGAGTTGGTGTGATCCAAGCCTTACCCCAAGCATTGGGGACCCAGAAGTAACACCAGGCAACTTTGACAAGTTGTTCTCAGAATTCAGTCCACATGAGGAGAGATGGGTCAATGGGTAACTGGAAATACTGACTTTGATGTTGCTACAAAGCCCCTGGCAGTTTGGTGGAAGGCAGAGACAGTTCCACAAGATTCCAGTGAGAAGGCCAGGATGAAGAGGTCAGCAGAAACCAGGTAGGAGACCAGATACTGCATGAAATTAGGGAGCCACTGGAGGAGTGTTTTGCATTTGTGACCCTCTTCTGTTTGTTCACCTGGCTGCGGTGCTGCCATTTTGCTGCACAGGATAAACGGATGCCGTATAAGCCTATCAGTTGTTATGTGCCTTCAAGTCGGATCCAACTCATAGCGACCCCTCCTTGGGTTTCCAAGGCAGTATCACTGTGGAAGTACATTGTCCAACCTTCTTCTGAGGAGTGGCTGGTGGGTTTGAACTGCAAGCCTTCTGGTTAGCAGCAAGTGCCTATTGCTACACATATCACCCCAGACATTCACCAGGACTAGTGCAAGGCCCTGTGTGAGGATGGCAGGGAAGCCTAGGGGAGAGCAGCTGAGGGAGGAAGTGGGAAAGTAGAAAGACCAGGTACAGGACCAGACACTTGGAACAGCCAATGGCATCCACCCAACTCAAGACTGGCTCAGAGCTTCATTGGCTCTCAGCCTTGATGACTCCAAATGTGAGACTGGCTTCTGGGGAGACTTGAACCAGCTACTCAGATAATGCTGCGTGAAATCCAGTTTCTCCTCTCCATCTTCCGTGGGCAAGTGGGTTTGAGTTAACCCATCTCCTCTGCCCCCAGCACACCATCCAAGAAAGAAGGAAGTTACTCTGGAAGCCCCAGCAAACATCTTTTTACTGGGCCTTACCTAAGTTGCTTGTTTATTACCTGGACAGTGATTGGGCAGAGTGGGAAAAGCTGATGGCTCCAGTTGGGACCAGGCCTACAGCTGGGGGCAGAGCTACTGGCAGCCACCTGCAACAAGGAAAATGTGGATCCTGGACCAGAGTGGGGGGCAGTCTACAGCCCCATCTTTCTTCATCAAGTGGAAACAAGTTCAGTACCCTGCCAGAAGGCTGTGTTCTCCAACCAGCTGTCCACTCCCTGGCCCTGTGTTGACAATCACTGTGCAGAGTACCTGTGTGCTGCCAGCACCTTAACTAAGTGCCAGGAAACCACAGCACTTGACTAGGCCCCAGGCCTCCAAATGCATATAGCCTAGGGCCGCTATGTACATGGATACAATGACCAGGAGGGTTGCTCAGGCCTGAGTCAAGGTGGCTGCGGTGGAGACAGAGACATGGAGGTACATGGACTGGTCCATGTGTTGGGGGAGATGGTGCTGAGCCCAGAATGGCTTCCTGGTGACTGCTGACAAAGAAGAGAGAGGTAACATCACAGATGAGGAGGCAGCAGAGAAGCCTCTGAGCAGCAAACAGGCATCAGAGCTGCTGGACGCATAGCCCTAGAGCTTGGGGAGTTGGCCTTGGCAGGAAACATGAAGGTGCAAATAAGCACTTGGAGGCTCCAGTTCTGGGGACAAGACTTCACAGGACAAGCAGAGGCAGTCATAGGCTATGGGAAGGGCAAATGCCCTCAAGGAGTAAGTAGTCCCTGTGGTCAAAGGCCACTCAGAAGCAAGAGGCCAGGCCTGGAGTGTCTGGGATCTAAGCTTTGCTAGGAGCAGCCCAAGGCATGGTGGGCCAACTACCAGGCCGGAAGACAGGAGGTGCCAAGGGGGACAACACAGAGACAAAGAGTTCATGACACAGGTGAGAAGCCAAGGACAGAGCTAGATCTGTGAGGGCCAGGTCTCAGCCTCTCAGGGCCTGGCCCTGAGTGGGAAAAGGAAAGGTGTGGACACCTATGGACAGAGGCAGTCTGAGGTCACTATGGTCATGAGGTAGACAGGAGGTTAGGCAGTGTGAAGGTGGTAGGCAGAGCTATAGTAAGGCCATTCCCACTAGGAAGCTTGTTGAGAAGACATTCCAAACTGGACTTCATGGAATGTCTTGGGGAGAGGCGCCAACTTGCCTGCTGTGGGAGGGCAGGACAGCCAGGAGAATAGTGGAAGGGGCCACGGAGGATCTGAGGCTGGCACGGCTGCCAGGTCCCTGCTATAAGCACCAAAAAGTAGGTTGGTGAGAGAGAGGAGGGGTGAGGCCCAAGCTTAGGAGTGAAGACTTCACCCAGGGGAGCTTGGGTGAAGTCCAGGAGAGTGCTCAGCTTCAGAGCCCAGGCAGTGCATCCTGGAAGTGGCAGGGGATGCCTGACACGAGTGGGGATGCAGATCCAGGAACTGGGAAGCCAGCTATGAGACAGGCCACCCCATACCCTGGAGGGAAGCTAGGGTAGGCATTAGAGACCTGGTGCAAACCCCACCAATCTACAGAAGATGGTCTAAGATACCAAGGGAGGAAGCAGCATGTTCAGGTGCATCCTACAAGCCAGAACCTTGTGGGCACCCCTGGACAAGTACACCCCAGGACCAGAGCACTCCCAAAGTGATCACACACCCCCTACTAAGGTGAAACACACCCCCAGGCCACGGCACCTCGAGGCAAGTGCACCCCTCGGGGTGCCCTGTTCGGTGGATGCCAGAAACAGAACTTACAAAGCAGAACACTATACAAGCTTTATTTTTACAATCTAATTAAGACAGGTCCATGAGCCTGTCCCAATAGGATGGAAAAACAGGACTCTTCTCACACGCTAATGAAATATAAATAAACATTTGTAAATTGATTTACAAAATGTTGGCTAAACTTTCCTCTTGCTCCTGGTTTAGTCCTTATGACATCAAGGGAAAAAAATCTCTGAAGTCACGCCATGGTAAGAGGGCCAATGTGAGCAGGGCCTCAATGATAGTGCACCACGCGGGAGAACACACCTTCAGGCTCCTTCCCATCTCCCAAGGCAGCAGCAAATCCCTCCTCTCTCCTCCTCTTTGCCAAAGCCGCCAAAGATTTGAAAGTCTTCGGCTCGTAGATGGCTAGGTCCGCAAGCACTTTCCTGTTGAGCTCCACCTGGCACTGGGAGAGAAGGGAGTAGAGACTGCAGTTAGTGTCAGAAGTGTATGTCCACACACTTGGGCAGATCAAATGTGAGCCCGCACACTGGCCCCTCAAGGGGATGCACTGCGTATGGCATGTCAACACCGTGCTTGCATAGAAGTGGGCATGGGTCCTAAGGAGGAAGATGGGTCCGGGCCCTGCCAAGCAAAGCCACACACGGGGAGGAAGACAAGGCTAAGATCAAGTCCTAGCTCAGCTTGGACATGGGGATGTCTTTCAGGGTTCACAGTCATCACCCAGAACAGAGTCTGCTAGCCTAGGGTAACCCCTAACTCAAGCCAGAGAAGAAATTCATAGCTCCCACTTTACACTGACAGTGAGACAAAGCATGAGTAAGGCCTGGACAGCAGCGGGGGGGCCGGGGGGAATATGCTGAGCACCCCCATTCTCCCAAGGGGGCTAAGCTGAGCCATCTACCAGACGTAACAAACCAGCAGCTACTTCAGAGAGCAAACAAAGGCTGCTGGAAGCCTAAGGACAAGAAAAGGGGACACCAGGCATGGATAGGGTGGCCCTGGCTCAGCATGTGGGACCTATGTGCCCCTGAAGAGAGTACTCCCATTCTTGAGCCTCTGTCCCCATCAGTAACATGAGAAGCCACACCTAAGCATCCCATGAGGATCTTTGTAACGTGCCAAAGACGTACTTACATGCAGAGGACAACAGCTGCCCCCTAACTTTTTAAGAAGGCATGCTTCTGCACAAAAGCAGAAGAACCAATCAATCAGACTCAACAACTGACTATGGTTTTGCCATATTTGCTTAATTAATCCCTTTCTCCACAGAGAGGCTCCTTGTTGAGTGTATATATTTCAATATCACCAAAAAAACAAACTCACTGCCATCGAGTTGGTCCCAGCTCATAGTGACCCCTTCTTGGGTTCCTGAGGCAGTATCTCTACGAAGTAGATTGCCTAGTCTTCCTTCCGAGTAGCTGGTGGGTTTAAACCGCTAGCCTTCTGGTTAGCTGTCAAATGCCTTAGGCACTACACTACCCAGCTCCTTTCAATATCACACTGCAGTGCTAATACTCTGAAGTTAAACTTTAGAAGTTAAAAGTTTAGAGCCAAGTTTTTCTGCCCTTAATGGGAAAACACCAGGCTCACAGCTATCCCACAAGCTGCCAGCAGGGCAAGCAAGAAACAGTTGTGAACCTCAAGCCTGCCAGAGCTCACTGAGTGCAGAAAACAGCAGTAGGGCACAGCCCACAGCTCTCTCTGCCTGCTGTGCTGCCAATGGGACTCACACCAGACTTGAATTTCTGCAGCCATCCAGTCCTCTCACAGGGCCCCCATCCTTACCATACCTTAATTAAACTGCCAATGAAGGCTGGGTACTTCAGGCCATGCTCCTGGGAAGCAGCTGTGATTCGATTGATCCAAAGCTGAAATAAGAAAGCATAAAGGTACCTAAGAACCAGTTCTGTATGTTACATGCACAACACCCAGCAGAGACCCTACAGAACTAAAACTTTTGGTAAAAGTAAATAGAAAAGTATTTTCTACTCAAGCAAAGAATAACGCCTAATCCAAACACAAGCTTCATCTCTAAATGGTAAATAGGGAACACTCTAAAGTGGAGGGTCAGCGAAAAAGGGGAAGGTCCTCAACAAGATGGACTGACCCAGTGGCTGCAACTATGGGCGCAGGTATAGCTAGGATTATGAGGATGACACAGGACTGGGCAGTTTTGTTGTTGTACACGGTCGTTATGAGTCAGAGCCAACTCGACAGCATCTAACAACAAGGCGCTGCACTGATTCAACACACACTTTTTGAGCAAACACTTAAGTGCCATGCCAAACTCTAACAAAGGATCCATGCAGATGAGTAACTGCAGTCACCGAGATGGGCTAACATAACAGAGGCAGAACAAAACACTCAAGTAGAAGATTCTGGGAGTGAGAAATCTTGAAGGAAGAGGCCAGATAAGTTCTTGACAGAAGCCCTTGCTAGAAACGAGAGTGGGAGTCTCTTCCAGACACTGCAAACATGGCCTGCACAGTACTGCCTTGGTAACCAAGCAAAGACAGAGCTTGGCCTTGAGGCACATTTGGAAGTTAGAGATAAAGGATGGAAAAGGGCAAGTCAATATGCTACTTAGTGGCTGGGATACAGCCCAAAGGAGATGGAATCACCAGCACGCAACCCATGCCCTTGCATGTAGGACCTGGTCTGTAAACTGAGTGGTCTCTGAGGGGATTCTGTTTTAAGCTGTTTACTACTCTTGCAACTTAAAAGTATCCAAGCACCTCACAGGTGACTTGTCAGGGTTATTTGGAGTTCTGGTTTTCACTCCAAGTCCCATTGGCTGCTACCAGACTTTTTTGGATACAGGGGAAAGGCTATGCATAGAAGCTTGAGCACCCATTTTGAAGACCTAAACTCCCAGAAGGCATAAATTCATATTTAGTTCAAGATTGCCACCGTCCAGGTAACAGGTAGAGCTCTGGTGATGGAAAGGTTAAAGCATTCAGCTGCTAACCAAAAAGTCAGGGGTTCAAGCCACTCCACTGGAGAAAGAGGAGGCAGTCTGCTTCCATAAAGATTTACAGCCTTGGAAACTTTACGGGGGAGTTCTACTCTGATCTATAGGGTCGCCATGAGTTAGAATTAACTGGCAGTGGTTTCACGTTTTATGCTTTTTTTTTTTTTTTCCTGGATGTGAGGTGTGAGAGAAATGAAGGTGTGGAGGATGGTGTGGGAGAAACCATTCCCTGGGAAGGACTGAAGGCCCAGCGGTCTGGCAGGAAAACTGGGCGCTTAGCTGTAGGCACATTCAGCTTGAAATGGCGCTCAGATGCCTGAGGTTGAGATTGCAGCCTGCAATTGAAGAAGACACTCTGCCCTACAGCGACAGCAGTCCTGCTGGAATGGAGATAAAAGGGGCGAGGGGCAGCAGGGCTCTGCTGGGTCCACCAAGAGCCCACGCTTACTGTCCTCAAGTTCCTCTTCTTCAGTCTTCGCGCTTTTGTGCATTTCACAAAGGCTCTAATCACAGCTCTGACCGCCAACCTGTAGCACCGATTCTTCCTTCCCCGGAAGTGCTGGGTGAAAAAAACGGGAAACGGGGTTTGCTCGCAGGGCCGGCATCCTGGAGCCCTGGGCTTCCTGAGCCCCGCCTGGGTGCAACTATGCGGGCCCCCTGTGACCAGGGGCGGGCGCGCCGGGTGAGGCGGGGACACGGTGGGCAGAGGGCAGCGGACAGTAGTGTGTGCGGGCCGGCACTCACCCGGGCGTGCTTCAGCACTTCTTGGACCCGCCAGTAGCGGTCGGTGAGCCGGTTCCGCAGCCACAGCTGCGTGGTGAGAAAGACCATGGCGCCACCAGGCAGGCGTCCGAACTGTTCAGTAATTCACGCACTGCAGAGTCTTATTACAGGGACCGGAAGCGGCAGCGGCGCTACAGCGCTTCCGGGTCAGGTCAAAGCCAGGGGGCACTTCCGAGGCGTTGCGCGTGCTCAACAAGTACTTTAAGTCTCGGATCTCCTCAGATCTGTGCTCCTGAAGTCCAGGCTCCTGCCCTTGATTCAGCAAATCCTACGGAACTCCTCCTCTGGCTGGACTCCGGGTACTGAGATGCAGCCATGAACAAAAGTCGAGCATGTCTGCCTTCGTGGAGCGGACGTCAGTTAAACGTGTAGGTAGACAGTGTTGCATGCTGTGGGGAAAATGAAGCTGGATGTTCACGAACTGATGAGTGGATAAGCAAACTGTGGTGTATCTGTGCACTGGAATATTACTCAACCATAAAAAGGAATGAAGTTGGGATATATGCTACAAGAAGGATGAGTCTCAAGAACGCGCCACTTCAAGGAAGCCAGAAACAAAAACCCACATATGATTGCATTTATAAGAAGTGTCCAGAATAGGCTAGGGAGAGGGGGATTAGGGAGTGGCTGCTGCTGGGGAAGGTTATCTTTTGGGGTGATGAAAATTTTCAGAAATGAGGTGATTGCACAACATTGTGAACATAATTAATCCCACCACTGAATTGTACACTTTAAAATTGTAAATGTTGTTTCTTTTACAACAAATAATAAAGGAGGAGGGTAAGTGATGGTGTGCAATTTCATTGTAACTTTTCATTTTGATGTAGTTCCAAGTTACAGAACAGTTGCAAGACTAGTACAAGGAACTCCACTTACTCTGCCCAAACGCACCAGCTGTTTACATCTTGCTTCATTTGTTTTATTCTCTCTATTACGCTTTACCAAAATGCACTGTTTACTTTTTGCCCATTGTTTCTCATTCTCTGTATAAATACTTATAAAAACATGCATATCTTTTTTCAGAAACATTGGAAAGTAAGTGGGAGATACCTAAATACTTCACCTGTGTTTCCTAAGAACAAAGACATTCTCTTCTGAGAATGATCAAACTCAGGAAATTTAACTTTGATACAATATTATTACCTAGCCTACAGTCCACACGCAAATATCATCAGATGTTCTTTATAGCTTGTTTCTTCCCTGTGAGGATTGTGCATTTTCTTGGCATGTCTTTTTAATCTCTTAATCAGGAACAATTCTTCCATCCTCCTTGGTCTTGGCATTCTTGAAAATGATAATCCAAACTATTTTGTAGAATGTCATTCAGGGTTTATCTGATATTTCCTCATGATTAGATTTGGCCTATACATTTTTGGCAGAATGCCACAGAATTCATAGTGTTTTCTCATTGCAGCATATCAGCAGGCCATATCAGTCTATCCCAACTTGAGTGATGTTAGCTTGGACCACTTGCCAAGCTTCTCCACTATTTTTCCCTTATAATTAATAAGTAATTTTTGGAGAGATATTTTATATCATTACAGGCTTTCCAGTAAGCACAAGCTGAGGCAGTACAAAACAGTACAGAGATTTACTAGGGTAAATGCCACAAGCACGTCATTTACATAGTCTCAGTCATTTGATGGGATTTACAAAGACTATGGCTAGAAGCACCATTTTAAGCAATTTACTGCACTGCATGTTGTTGTAAGGACTTTGATGTTCTGATTTCTGTGCTGCATAACAAGTTACTCTAAAAATTGGTGGCTTGGAAGAATCATTTTATTTTGTTAACAATCTTGCAGATCAGGAATTTGGAAAAGGTTTATGTGGGTAATTGGCTTGGAGTCTCCAATGCAGCTGTAGTCAGGTGGCAGATGAAGCTGGAATAGTGGGTATCTCTCTCTTCATGTACTGTCTGGACCTTTCCATGTGGACTCTCCATGTGGACTTAGTTGGGCTTCCTCACATCATGGCAGCATCAAGGCAGACTGCTTATGTGATGTGTTAGTTTCTTAATACCGCTGTAACAAAGATGTTTACCTGTCTTTTATTGACCACACAAAGGCATTCAACTGTGTGGATTATAATAAATTATGGATAACATTTCAAAGAATGGGAATTCCAGAACACTTAATTGTACTCATGCAGAACGTGTACAACAACCAAGAGACTGTCGTTCCAATAGAATAAGGGGATATTACATGATATAAAATTGGAAATGGTGTGCCAGGGTTGTATCTTCTCACCAAATTTATTCAATCTGTATGATTGAGCAAATAATCTGAAAAGCTGGATTAAATGAAGAGCATCCATCAGGATTGGAATAGGACTCATGAACAGAGTGGCTGTGCTGAAAAACCATCTTTACATTGTTCCCTGGCCCAGCTCGTTGCTTACAGCCACCTCTACTTCATGCCTGTTTTCCTGGCAGCCTTCTCACCAGAGTCCCCAAGCTCACACTTCCTTCATAATCTGCATCAGACCACTGGTGTGCCCCACCAGGTTAGATAAAGCCATGGACACCAGCTCTGAGCTCACCACCAAAGACAAAAGAAGGAAGTTGCAGAGGGGGTGGAGAATGGAAGAGATGCACCTGTGCAGTGTAGTAAATTACTTAGTATGGCTTTTCTACCCATAAGTCATTGTAAACTCAGTGGTGGAATGAGCAACTGAGGAGCTCCTGATTGTAAATGCTATCCACCTGGGTTATTTCTGTTGGGCGTGGCACAACGCAGTGTTATGGGAGGCTCTCTCTCAGGTG